GGACCACGATCAGAAACAACGGCAAACGTTTCACTGACTGAGCCCCCCAGGTGCCCCAAGAGAGGTTACGTTTTTATTTTTTATTTATTTATTTTTAAGGATTTTATTCATTTATTTGACAGACAGAGATCACAAGTAGGCAGAGAGGCAGGTGGGGGGAGGGGAGGCAGGCCCCCCCCGCCGAGCAGAGAGCCCAATGTGGGGCTTGATCCCAGGACCCCGAGATCATGACCCGAGCTGAAGGCAGAGGCTTTAACCCACTGAGCCACCCAGGTGCCCTGAGAGGTTACGTTTTTAAATATTGTCTGGAAAGAGCAAAGAGTGAACTTTGAGAATGCTGAGCCCAGGAGAGCTATCCTGGCGCACACCCCTCTTGTATGTACTTATGCGTGAGCAAGACCAGATGAGAGTAGGAAACTGCCGAGGTAGGTACTGAGTTCAATAGCATTTCCTGGAAATTCGTGTTCCACTGAAACCCGTGAACATGGCCTTATTTGGAAATAGGGTCTTTGTAGACATAATCAGATTAAGATGAGGTCATCCTGGGTTGGACTAGGTCCTACCTCTGATGTGACTGGGGTCCTCGTAAGAGGGCGATTTATTTATTTTTTTTTAGGATTTTATTTATTTATTTATTTGACAGAGAGAGAGAGAGAGAGAGAGAGAGATCACAAGTAGGCACAGAGGCAGGCAGAGAGAGGGGGGGAAGCAGGCTCCCCGCTGAGCAGAGAGCCCAATGCGGGGCTCGATCCCAGGACCCTGGGACCATGACCTGAGCCGAAGGCAGAGGCTTAAACCACTGAGCCACCCAGGCACCCCAAGAGGGCGATTTAGACGCAGACACACACAGACACTTGGGGGAAAAGACCATATGGAGATGGAGATTGGGGTGATAGGTTTCTTTTTTCTTTGTTTTTTTTAAAGATTTATTTATTTATTTATTTATTTAAATTAATTTATTTTTATTTATTTATTTATTTATTTGACAGACAGAGATCACAGGCAGGCAGAGAGGCAGGCAGAGAGAGGAAGGGAAGCAGGCTCCCTGCCGAGCAGAGAGCCCGATGTGGGGCTCGATGTGGGGCTCGATCCCAGGACCCTGGGATCATGACCCGAGCCGAAGGCAGAGGCTTTAACCCGCTGAGCCACCCAGGCGCCCCTGGGGTGATAGGTTTCTAAGCCAAGGGACGCCAAGGATTGCCAGCGGACCACCAGAAGCTGGGAAGAAGCAAAGAAGTCTTCTTCCGAAGAGACTTGGGAGAGAGGCTGTCCCTGCCAACACCTTGATTTCAGACTTCTATGCCCCAGAACTGTGAGGGAGCACATCTCTGGTGTTTTAAATCACTCAGTTTGTGGTACTTCGTATGGCGGACCCTGGGGAAAATCATACGCTCCCCTTTCCACCCTCCTGCCGGTTGGCGGCAACCACTAAACTGATTTCTGTGTCTAGGAGTTTGCCTAGTCCTCAGAATTTTTTGATCCAAGAGGTCTGGGGTCAGGAACATGCATTTCTAGCAAGTTCCCAGGCGGTGCTGATGCTGTTGTCCTTTCTACAGCATCTCAAGCGTAGAGCACCTGCCGAGAGCTGACAAAGGGCACCCCCAGGCCTTAGAGCTGAACCAATAAGTTTACCTACTGGGATCCCTTCCCAGGCTGGCTCCCCAGGTTGCTGCCAATTTCAAGGGCGAGACCCCGCTGTCCTTTTGGTGCACTTTGCAATTCCCCACTGAGCACACTTTGCACCCCATCCGGTGAAAGCTGCCGGTGAGTTTTGTGTCATCTCGGCTCCTGCTTCCGGTGACAACACTCTCCCCCACCTGAGCCAGCCTCTGCCATCAGAGCAGAAAACCACCCTTCCACAAGATACAGACTTTCATCTCCTCCGGGCACTGGCTCCCTCCCATGAGCTAGCTGCCGGGACCCGCACTGATATCCCCCCACTTTTCCACGGAGATGTTCCTCTCATTGGAACAGGGGAATTAAAATGAGGGGTCCAAGACCACAAGTCCCAAGGGCCTGCGGTAGTCGGTCAGACACCCGGAACCTAAAGGGCACTGACCATGAGCCCCGGGAAGGGGTCATCTGTATCTCTGTCCTCCTGTCTTTCCTAACTGGGAAATAACCCTAGGAGCAATGTGGAAATCTAGATGGTGGGGAGGGAGGGAGAACAGGAAACTCCCTGGGACTGGGGTCTGTGACAGTCGTTAAGTTCCGGAGTCCCTAAGCACCTGGATGGAAGCATTTAGATCCTCAAGTGTTCTCCTGAGGACCAGGACTCCCAGTCTCCAGAGTCTGCCCTCAGACCGGCGTTCCACATTCTTCTTCCCCTGTTCTCCTGGGACCCAGGTGTCCAGATATCCAGCTCTCTGATCCCTCAGGACTCAAGAGTCCCATCTCACACCAATTATGGCCCTAGGATCCAAGAGCACTTGCCTGGGCCCTGAGGACCCAGATGTCATCCCATTCCTTATGCTAAGTGGATCCTGAAAACTACATCTCCCATGAGGCTGTAGGTCTGCAGTGTCATTGTTTAAATGCTCCCTGTTATTGAGGTACCTCAGAAAAATAGTTCCACACCACAAGCAAGAAGTTGGGGGTGGGTTGGGGAGGGGGTGGGAGGTTGACAAGTCTTCTCCTGTCAAAGGGCAGAGATAGTCCAGAGTCCCTGGGGACACCAAAGCAGAGCAGAAAACTGAGGCCCAGAGGGCAACTGGGACCTTCCCACAGCTTCCTGACAATGGGGGCAGGGGTGCTTGGGGTGGATGGGAGACGGGGAAGCAGATCCCATATCCTCCCTCAAACACTCACACAGGCTCACTCGGATCCTCCTCTCAGATTCTTTATTATCCCAAGCAAGAAAAATAAAAAAATAAATAAGATAAATAATCCAATAAATAAAGAGGAGACCCCGTAATAAACAGCCCGCGGCTTCAGGAAGCGTAGCTGGGACTTCGACCCTGCGAAGACACCACCATGCTCAGGGGGTCTGAGGAGTTCACGTCCGGAGGCTCGGGGGCGGGGATTCCGGGGGGCTCTGGGGCGGCCGGAAGCAGACCTGGCAGGGGCAGGAAGCGGGCAGGTCCCCGGGGCGCCAGGTCCCGGTATCGGGAGTCGTGGGGGGGCAGGCGCAGTGGGAGACCCAGGGTCTCAGAGTAGTAGATGTTGTACCCATCTTCCAGAAGCACTTCCCGGAAGCTGCAGGCTACGGGGTCGAAGTGGAACTGCGGGAGCAAGAAGAGAGATCAGAGACATGGGATCCCTTCCCATCTTCCTGCTGCAGGACCCAGGCATCCGGGCGGGCGCCCTCCTCCCTCGGACCTGGGCGTCTGGGGGCCCCCAGCTCTCTCTTCTTTCTGACCACAGAGTGCTCCCCTCCAACAGGATACAGGAGTCCAGACACTCCTAGAGAGCTGGGGGAGCCCCTCCTCCCTCAGATCCAGAGTCCAGGTCCCCAGACACAAAGAACAGAAGCAGGCTCCTCCTTCCCCTCTGGGCAGTCCACCTCCTGACCCCACTTCCCAGAGAGGATTATTCCAGCCCAGGGAGCAGTCGAGGCTCTCTGAGTCCAGACAGCAGCATCTGGCTTCCTCCCAGGGGTCACGGTCACTTTACAGGCCATGGGTCCTCGGAGGGACCCTGTGCCCAGCAGGAACGGGACATGTAAGAGGACCATGTAGCCGCCAGGGGTTCTGAGTCACAAGACTCAGCCTCTCAGGCCACTCCGTCATTCACAGGCCTCGTGACTCGCAGCTGGCATGTCCCTGTGTAAGCCTCAGTTTCCTCTCCTTGTAAACATGGACAAGGTCAGCTCCCACAGGTAGGGGGGCTGGCGTGGTGCAGGCACGTGGAGAGCACAGGACCAAGCCTGGCCCAGGCCACAGGTGCCAGACGTAGTACCCCAGATGGGTGTAGATGACAGGAGGGAGGGTGGAGCACAAGGGGGGGCACCCCGGAAACTCACCGATCCGTACAGCGTCCCATCCGGGCCCTGGCACAGGAACCTGGATGTTTTCACTCCCAAGATCTGAATGACCCCTGGCTTCAGGGCTTTCAGCTCCAAGAGACCTAAGAGGGAGAAAGTGGTCCGGGACTCAGAGGGCCTCTGCCCAGGCCCCTCTCTCTTGGACCTGGGAGTCCAGGCCTCCAGCCCCTCCTCCCGCAGACCACCCCTGGTCTATATACTCACTTTCGGGGCTCCGGCGGGCAACCCCCGCCACCGTGCCATCAGCCCTGATCTCTAGGTGGGCCTCCGTCTCCTGAGTGTCATCTGTGTAGAGGTACCGCTGTCGAACTTGGCCTCCAAATTGGAGGAGGGGGCTGGAGTCAGGGATAGGGTGTGCCTGGCAGCATTCCAGCAAAAGGACGGCCAGCACAGGGACCCACAGCCCCCGGTGCTCGGACCTGGTCTCCTTCCAGCCCATCAATGGCTCACGTCCTCAGGCGAGATCTGCGGTCTGGGGTCTGACAAGCGAGTGGAGTGGTAGATTCTGTTCCAGATCCTGGCCGTCTGGGAGAGCAGAGTCACGGATCCCTGGGTCCTCTCGCACGTGGATTCCCAGCTGAACCGAACACCCAGGTCTTCTAGAAGGGATGCAGGCGCTCCAAAATTTATATCCAGACAGACCCGCCCCATCACCTTCCCCACACCTGACCCATGATATTTGACCCACTTGGCAGGAGTCAGGATTCCACGGTGGCCAGATCAGGCTGAATGGATGATGCAATCCGGGGGGGTCCTTCCGGGGGGCCTGGACTTCCCAGTCTGAGGAATTAGGGGGAGAGCGGTCGGAAGAACTGGGACCTGGGTGACAGGGGCTGGGGGGGACGGGGCCCCTGGAATCTCAGGGAGGGGAGGGCTGGGGGGCAGGGGGCTGGAAATCTGCTTCCCTGACTGACAGACGCAGACTGTGTCCCATAACTGGAATTTCTGCACGCCACCTGAATTTCTAGGTTTCTGGGGGTCACACGCTGATGTTCCTCGATCATCAGAGAGGCCGCAAATGCCACATGACCAAAGCGTCCCCTGCAGGGACAGAGGCATCCTGACCTCAACGTCACCAACCCCAGCCCAGACGCTCCTCCTGCACCAAAGGTCCCAGTCTCTCTCTCTCTCTCTCCTCCCTGATGCAATTCTGGTGTTTCTTTCACCAGAGAAGCTATCCCCAGGCCCAGAAGGGAGCTCTCAAAATAGCTTGGGGCAGGGGGAGGGTGAGAGTCTCTGACTCAGCGTTGGTGGCCCAGCCAGGCTCTGGAGGGGGAACTGAGAGGCAGGAGCCCAAAGGGAACGAGGGGTGGGCAGTTTCCTGGAAACCAAAGGTACAGAGACTGGCCACCTGGGTCTAAGCGAGGAGGGCACTGGGGGCCTGAACTTCTCCAGCTAAACAGGGGAGGGGGCTGGGGTTGGAAGTCCAGGGTCTGAGGAAGGAGAGGCCTGGGGGCCACACTCCTGGGTCTGGAGACATTTATGGCCAAGTCTCTGGACAGTGAAGTCAAATCCCTATTGAATGTTCACGCTCCCCTGCTGCAGCCGCCCAGGGTGGGGCTGGGTAGGGCCACTTGACCATGGGAACAGTTTCAGGTGTGCTGCAGAGCAAAGCCTTTGAATCCCAACCTGGGACTGTGGGAGGATAAATTGGCTTCCGCTCCTGCCTGCCAGCTCCTTCCCGGCTCAGGGGAGAGGCTGCCACCAGGAGGGGCCCGTCTAGAAAGGAGCTGTCGGCACCAGACCATCCACTCACCCCGGAGGAGAGGCTGGGGGCCCCGGCTCTGGCATCTGGAGGTGTGCGGTGTGGACATGGGCGATCAGCGGCGCCTGGTGTGCGTGGGGACACCCACGAGCTGGAGGCTCCCGCGTCTGGGACCCTGACAGCTGGAGGAGGTTTTCCATCCGCTCCAGGAGCAGCCCCGCGAACTGGTTCCTCACACCCACAGGGAGGACGAGGCAGACAGGGCAGAGGATCTTACTCCCCGCCAGGGCCTGGTGTCCGGGGAGTGGCTGGGCTCCGAGCATCCAGGTACCCCGGGCAGGCTGTGAGCCCGCGCGCCAGAGAAGGGGGAGAAGTCCATGGACCCGAACACCTGGGTCCAGCATCGCGTTCAGCGCTAGAAGTCCACGTCCACGGAAGGATGCCGCTGCTGGGGGCCAGGTAGGCGGGCCCTGGAAAGCCCTGTGGCTGGCCGAGGCCGGAGAGGAGGGGGCTGGGCTCAGGTCCCCGGGTCTGGGGAGGGCAGGGGGTGGAGGCTCCCACCCCAGCCTGGGGCTCCAGGACGGGGGCGGGGCTCTGCCTTGGACCTACCTGCCTGGCCCTGGAGGGGCGGAGGCTGCGAGCCTCGGAACCGCGCCCATCTCCTTCCTCTCCTCCCCGAGCCCTTGGAGCCAGTCGGGGGAAGCGGCATGGAGGGGAGGGCTGCCGAGCCTTGGGACCTGGAGTTCGAGATTCCGGGGGCGGCCGGATGTGGACTGCACTTGCGGACGGCTCGCTGCAGTCTCGCCAAGCCGACTGCGGATCTGCCATCCGCCAGAAGCTCAGGTGAGTGGGCCTAGCAGAAGCCTGGCACCTAGGAACCTGGGCCTTTGGACCCAGGAGGCGCACGCCCAACCTCTCCCCACTTAGGACCCGGGGAGTCTCCACCCCGCCTGCAACTCCTGCTTCTTCAGGAACCAAGATCCCTTCCTCCAGTCTGGGCCTCCAGACTAATCCTGTTCTGCTTGGCTTGTGTCTTCCTGTCACCTCCATAGTGGAGGCTGCCCACCTCCTCCCCTTCTCCCCAGCCCCGGGTACACCGGAGAAAAGAGTTGGTGGAACAATGCCCAACTTCAGTGGGCCTCCGGGGCCCCAGGGGAGCCAGATCCCAAGATGCAGAGATGACACGCTGGGTTCTAGACCGTTGCTCTCTTGGAAAGCACCATTTCCCATCCCCGTCCCCTGAAATTCCAAGACCCCGCTTCTCCTCCCTCGGATCCAGGACCCCGATCCCCCTTCCCCCGGACCCAGGAGTCTGAATCCTTATTATCCTCCTTCTGACCGGCCTCTGCTCCTTGACATATGTCCTTGGGCCCCTTGAGCCACTGCTAACTCATCTCTCCTCCCGTTCAGCCATGTGGGCCCCCAGCCGCCGGCAGCTCTGTCTGACCTTCCTGCTAGTCTGTGTTCTTTCAGCCGTCTTCTTCCTCCACATCCACCAAGACCTCTTTCACAGTGGCCTGGACCTGACTGCCCTGTGTCCGGCCCGCCACCTGCTGACACCCCCCGTGGCCGTCTTCTGCCTGTCCGGCACGCCGATGGCGCCCAACGCCTCCTTTCCCTGTCTCAAGCCCCCTGCCTCGCTCTCAGGAATCTGGACCATCTACCCAGATGGCCGCTTCGGTAACCAGATGGGGCAGTACGCCACGCTGCTGGCCCTGGCCCAGCTCAACGGTCGCCAGGCATTCATCCTGCCTGCCATGCACGCCGCGCTCGCCCCCGTGTTCCGCATCAGCCTGCCCGTGCTCGCCGCTGAGGTGGACAGCCGCACGCCGTGGCGGGAGCTAGAGCTGCACGACTGGATGTCGGAGGACTACGCACACTTGAAGGACGCCTTCCTGAAGCTTACGGGCTTCCCCTGCTCCTGGACCTTCTTCCACCATCTCCGCGCCCAGATCCTCCGGGAGTTCACCTTGCACGACCACCTACGGCAGGAGGCCCAGGGTCTCCTGAGCCAGCTCCGCTTGGGCCGCCTGGGGGACCACCCTCGCACCTTCGTGGGGGTCCACGTGCGCCGTGGGGACTACCTGCAAGTCATGCCCCAGCGCTGGAAGGGGGTGGTGGGCGATCGCGCCTACCTCCAGCAGGCTATGGACTGGTTCCGGGCACGGCACGAAGCCCCCGTCTTTGTGGTTGTCAGCAATGGCATGGCCTGGTGTCGGGAGAACATCGACACCTCCCGTGGGGACGTGATCTTTGCTGGCGATGGGCAGGAGGGCTCGCCGGGGAAGGACTTTGCGCTGCTCACGCAGTGTAACCACACCATCATGACCATTGGGACCTTCGGTTTCTGGGCCGCCTACCTGGCTGGTGGAGACACGGTCTACCTGGCCAACTTCACCCTGCCTGACTCCAACTTCCTGAAGATCTTTAAGCCAGAGGCCGCCTTCCTGCCCGAGTGGGTGGGCATTAATGCTGACTTGTCTGCCCTCCAGTCGCTGGCGGGGCTGTGAGCAGCAGGGAGACTTTATGGAATCGCTGATCAGTCTTGGGGAGGCATTTACCTGGCAGCTTCTGGGGAAACCTACTGGAGCCGCACAGCCAGTGCCCCCCCCCCCCCCCCCCATTTCTAGAGCAGTTCTAGCTGGCTAGACTTTGAGAGAAAGGAGGGCTCTCTGTAGCTGTCTGGACATTTTAGAATCAGCAGAAGATCTTTCCCTGTGGGTTGGCAATGCCCAGAGAGGCTCGTATCAGTTCTAGAAGGCAGCGCCTACCTGTTCATTCCAGCCCATATCCAGAGTACTTTCTGGAGGGCTGCACCCAAGCCCAGGCAACTCCCCTTTCGAATGTTGCCCCTGGTCTTCTTGAGAAGAGAGGTCCAGTCCCCAGGATTGAGGGAATTTGTGGGTGTCCTAGAGCAAGCACCCACCAACTCCCGTTCTGTGTTTCTGGAGTCATTCTAGAGAGCCCCAGTTCGAGTACCTGTGGAGAATCCTGCAGGGATCTTCCAGAGGGGTGGGGTTCTGGAATTCCAGGAGAATCTCAGGAAGGTACAATCCAAATCTTAACGCCTCAACCACTGCTGGGAATATGGGTAGAAGACAGATTATGTGTAGCTGAGAGCCGACCCGAAATCTGTCTGACCTCTCAGCCCCTGAAAAGAAAGACCAAGACTCTTTTTTGAGCAGATGGACGAAAACGTGGGGGGTGGCAGGAGGGGGACAGCTTCAGAAGTGTACCCGGTTCTGGAGCGAAGTTTTTCAGAAATGTGGGAACACTTTTCATTTTTCTTTAAGCTCAAAAACTGCCAAAGACAAGCACCCCACAAGGCGGGTCTGAGTTGAGGTGGCCCCTCCCAATTATGGAAGTTTCCTCCTCTGCCTCCCCTCCCCCCGCCCCCTCATCCCCGCTACCACCACTGGGCTGGGGGCGGTGCGGGTGGGGGGGGTGAAGGGGTGAGGGGTGGGGAGGGATGATGGAATCCATTTTCTGGAATTCAGCCAGCATGAATGTTTCCTTCTGCCTTGCAGAAAGCGCCTGGCATTGTGCCCCTTGCCAACCCTGGTGTGCCCCTTGCCAACCCTGGTGTGCCCCTGATATCACAGAACCACTAAATCTGGCTTCAGGTTTGAAAGGAATGGAGGGTGTGCAGACCCTCAGCAGTTCTCAGACCCAGGCTGTCCTCAGACCCAGGCAGAAAGGAATGCAGGGTCTGGCTAAGGAGGATGGGATTCTGGACTCAGATTCCAGGAACCCCTTGAGGCTTTTGGAAGGGAGTGAAGGTGGCCTGCTAGCTTTATTACAGACAACTCTGATCACATCTCCTGTCCACCCAGAAGAACGCAGACCCCTTTTTCAGTCTTCCTAAGGGAGTTTTGAGGGATCATTCCCAATTCGGCTGCCACAGGTGGGGGAGAGGGCGGTATGAATTAAAAGTCCACATCGCTAACACCTGTCCCTGCAGTGTTTTGGAGTCGTGTGTGTGTGTGTGTGTGTGTGTGTGTGTGTGTGTGTGTGTGTGTGTAGGAGGAAAGTTTCGGAACTGCCAGGGACTCATTCACATCTAGGGGTATTGTCCTGCTCAAACCTGGCCATCTCTTGTTCTCAGAATTGTGTGAGTCATGGTGCTTGTTTTTCTGGTGGCCTGTTTCAATGATGCAGAAAAGGAGACACCTTCCAGGACCCATAGAACCCCAGTTCCTCAGTATTAGCCCTAGGCCTCTTTCCTCTGGAACCTGGGCATCAAGCCCCAGTGGGTAGGGAGAGAAAGTGTAGGAGGAAGCGAGTGAAGTGTGTAACTCCGGAACTACATTTCCCATAGAGCCATCGGACTGGCCAGGGAGAGACCCCAGGGCCTCCTGGGAGTCGTAGTCCTAGGGCTAGAAAGGGCCCCTTTCTTCATCTTCGTGGCTCCACGCCAGGTTTGCAAAAGGCCGAGTGCACCTAGCCGGAAGCCTGGGTCCGGGGGCCCAGGGAGGGGAGGAAGCTGAAAGCCAGAAGTCCTTTCCTCGGTTTTAGAAGCCGGAGGGAACAAGATACTTTCCTTTCGGTAGACGCTGGGAAAATTCTAGTTTGAAAACGCGGCCGCCTCTGTGATATCATGGAACGATAGGCGGAGTCTCCCTTTGTTGCGGTCCTCTCAGACTCAGCGTTGGGCTTGTGGGCGGGGCCGAGAAAACTCCCTGGGAGTATCTTTTGGGGAGTTGGGGCCCCATGTGGGAAGCTAGAAAGGGGAAGCTGTGGAAATTCCTCGTAGACCGGGGCGAACCGTGACCGTGACTCCAGTCAAAAAGCTCTCCAAATCACGGGACCGACCTCACCCTCGCCCCCAAACAAAATCCTTAATTTTAGGCGTGGGAAAATAGCAGAGTGGAAGGACGTGGCCTGCTCATCCTGCCTAAAAGCCCTCAGCCTGGATTCGGCTCTTCAGCGGATCCTTGTATTTGAGGACACAGCATTCAAGGTCAAGGTCGGGCAGCGGCTGTTTAGGGCTCATCGGGTCTCCGGACTCCTCGGTTTCCTAACCGAGAAGTGTGCGCCCTTCAAATTAAGGGTCTTAGTCTCGGGGAAGGGCATCTTCCCCCTTAGCGTGAAAGTGTGGGGTAAAAGGACCCTCCCCGGGGTTCGGCGCGGCCGGAGCGCTCCGGTCGCAATGGGTCCGCAACTTCCCTTCCTGGTGGCGGCGCTGGCCGTCTGCCTGCTTCCTGCCCGGGCCTGTCTCATGTGTGCTACAAAGGTCGTGGAGGCGCTAGACTCCTTGGAGAAGACCTACCTGCCTGACCACCTGCCGGCCGAGCGCCACGAAAGCTTTATGAAAAGGGTGAAAGAAGCCGTGCTGGATTTCAAGAATCTGCCAATTCAGGAGGATTCCTATATGGGGGTTGTCGGTGAGGGCAGGGAAGAGCGTAGAAATCCTGAGTCCTGGGAAAGGAGGGGTCTGTGGCTAGGATAGCGGGGTGCCGGACCGGGGGCGGGGCGGGGGGGAGGGTTTAGTGGGAAGGGAAGGCAGGGCTGGAGGCAGAGCCTACTGGGCTCGGGAATGGAGAAGGTTGGAATGCAGATTCTGGGCCTTACCCAGGGCTGGCAAATACTATGTTTCCCACTTTAGCCTCCACTTTGGTGCTTAAAAATTAAAGAACAACTACATTAAAAAAAAAACAACTACAACTCCCAGAAGGCAATGGGCAGACAAACCCTTTACCAGTCTTATCCTTGCCCAGTAGCCTCATGGGTATTGTAGTTTCTGACACTAGTTGAGCCAATGAGGCAGTAAGGCTTGGAATCTGGACTTCTATCTCCCCCTCCCCGCATCCCCGCCTCCCACCCCTCCAGATGAGCCCACACTGGAAAACGCATCATGGAGTTTTCTGAAGGATTTGAAACGTATCACAGACAGTAACGTAGAAGGTAAATACACAGAGGGGTCAGGGGAGGGGCTGCAGAATCTTTCGGAGAAATGATAGTTGGTGACAACTGGTCTGGTAGTGGCTCTGTGAGCCAAACTGCCCAGGTTCAAATTCCGGCTCTGTCATCTCCTAGCCGCATGGCCTTGAGTGAGGGCCTGTGTCACCCTGCTCCTTCCCAGGTGAACTTTTCGTGAAGGAGATGTTTTGGATGTTGCACCTGCAGAAGGGTATCTTTGCCCGCTTTGCAGCTCAGTTCCAAAAAGAGGGTGAGGGAAGACGCGAGTCCCTCAGGGACCACAGCCCCTTTTTCAACAGTCCCAGAGTCCCTGTCCCCACCCCCTCCCCCGCCCCCCGCTTCTCTAAGTCCCGCCCCTCGGCTCTCCCAACTCCATCCTCCCTCGGACCCAGGGATCCAGGCACCTGGGTCCTTCCTTCCTCCCTCAAACACAAGAGTTCAAACCCCAACCCATTGCCTCCTCTCATCTCCTTTAACTTAGCAATCTGATAATCATTTCTTTTTTTCTTTCTTTCTTCTGAGGCAGTTTTTTGTCCCAACCAATGTGGTGAGTCCGAATTTGGGAGCTGGTCCTTATCCCTCATGGTCGCTCCGGTAATACCCAGCCGTTCTCCTCCCTCTTTGGGTCTCGATGTTTCTCCATTCTCCACGTCTGAGAGGTTCCACAGTCCTTTCGCACTACGGGCTTACTGGAGAGCCCGTCATATTGTATTTACACTCTTTACCGAGCCTGGTTCCATCCCTCTTCCAGCGGGGCTGCCTTCTACCCCCGCCCCTTGGGCTGACCTCCCCGGGATTGGGCACCTGACCCCGCCCCAGCCCTTGGCCCTGCCCTCTCCTTTTAGCCTCGTCCCTCAGGGCGAATACAGCGTTGATACCGCCCCTTCAGGTGTGATGTTGCAGAGTCTGATCTGGTGCAATTCCTGCGAGAGGCAGGTTCACGCCTGTCGAAAGACAGCTAATTGCGGGGGTGAGAGAGCTGGGGCCGGCAGGAGGGGGGCGGTGCAAGAGGGGCGGAGCCAGAGGAGAGCCTGAATCTAGAGAGGGCGGAGCCTGGAGCCGGCCGACGGGAGAAGGCGGGGCCGAGACCAAGCGGGAGGGAGTTGAAGGGCACCGAACTTGGAAGAAGCATCGCACTGCAACCCCCTATCCCCAGAGCGCGTAGTCCTCGTCCACGAAAAGGAAGATATGATCCTGAACTGTGAGCTCAACTGGCATCGACTCTCTCAAGGCCTGACCAATTACAGCTTTTTCAGGGTGGGGTCCTCTAAATCCTGTAATCCTTGATCCCCAAGTCCATCAGACTTGTGTGAGCCCCTTGATCCCTGTATCCACAGGTTTGCACCCACAATCCCTATGACCCATGACCTACCTACCAGGTTTGGTTTCTACTGATCCCTGAGGACCCCATGTCCCGACCAGTATACCCGGGACTCCCATCTCCCCCGCTGAGGCCCCATGATGATCTCACCCTTGTACAACCCCAAACCCTGAATTCCCCAGGCCTCTGTGACCCCTTGAGCTTGGGTCTAGGTTTGGGGGCAAAATTCTGAGACCTTGCTGTCCGAGGGGAAAGATCCCATCCTGACCAAGACCGCGGTGACCGCAGAGGACGCAGGCGTCTACCGCTGCCGTTTGGGCACTGTCCGGTCCATCCCAGCCACGATCCTCTTCTTTCGAGTCACAGGTTAGTGCTGGGCTGTTGACAGCAGTGTGGGACTCAAGGTCCCGGCGGGGAAAGCGGTCAGCCTCAGGGGCGTGGTCTGGGCCGCATTCCCTTCCGGCAGGGGTGTGGTTTCAGGTCACGAGGGTGTGGCTTCGTGCCCCGGGTGTGGCCCTCCCACCACTGTGTTCAGGCACTTAGGGGCTGGATTCCTTCCTGCAAGGCGTGGGTCCTGGGGCTGGCTGGAGTGGAGCAGGCTTGCGTTGGCTCGGGCGGGACCTTCGTGCCCTCCCAGGACGTCTTCCCTCTCCTCTGTCAGTGTTGCCCGAAAGGATCAGTGAAGAGCTACCGTCAAGCCAGGCTGGGGAGGCTGCAGGTCCGGGGGATTCGGGTAGCCTCCAGAGGCCCCCAGCCGGCCAGCCTACATCGACACAGTGTCCGAAGTCCGAGAACATGCTGAGAGGCCGTCTGATCGGACTGCTGATCTGGGGCTTTGTGGTGCTGATAATCGGCTTTGCGACCGCGTGAGCCGCCCACTGAAGAAGGCAGGGCTTGGAGCAAGGGGCGGGATTTCCAACTTCCTAACGCCGGAGGGGGTCTGGGAGCTAGGGAAATACTGGGAGCTGTATTTCCGTTGGGGATGGGTCTTAGAAAACAGGGTGGGGCTTATCTAGGTGAGCTAAGCTTGGATCACTGCTAGAATTAGATCAAATATAGGGAGGCTGGGAGGGGTGTCCCTCACTCAGGACCTAATCTGGTTCTGCTGTTTGCAACCCCCACCCCCAGGATACTTTGCTTTCGGCCTGAGAGGGTGATCAATTGCATCAAGGACTGTTTGGGCACCATGAAGGAGTCTGCCACGCCACCACAGATTTCAAAGGAAAAAGCTACATCATCAGGGCACAAATAAAGATTTGTCTGATTGTCTCAATATCTGACTCATTCCTCCGGTCTGATCCTAACTTTTGGTTTCCCCAGAGGTCTGGGTCTGGGGATGGTCTCCTGTCTAAGAGGAGGGGCCGGGAAGCCAGCTCCTGGAGTCCTGGAAGGGCCCAACCGGCTGAGGCGTAATTCCAGAATCAAGGAGCAGGGAAAGGCCAGCCCTACCCAGATCTCCTCCCCCAGGCCCAGGCCCCTCACAGGACGCCCCCTCCCCGCTCTTCCTGCCGGGTTTCCTCTCGCCTTTTCCTGTCCCCCACCCAGTGCTGGGAGCTGGGGCAGAGGCAAAGGCTGAACAGGAGCAGCGGGGTCAGGAACCAACAGGGCCAACGGAGCCAGGGCCCCAGGGTGCTGCTGGGACCTGACGCAGGGTAAGTGCCAGGGTCCCAGGAATCCAGACCCAGGAGCCAGTCCTCCTCCACCTCACATCTCAGCACCCAGGAGTCTAGGCTCCCATCTTTCTCCTCCACTCAGAATGTCTGAGCCCCAGCCCCCCTCTATGACTGAGGAGTCCCAGTCCCCCTCTGTCCCTACCCCGCCGCCACTCAGGGCCTCAGGATTTGGGGTCTTACCCACCCTTCCTTAGGGCCATGCTATCTGGTGAGCGGAAGGAGGGCGGAAGCCCCCGCTTCGGGAAGCTCCATCTCCCCGTGGGCCTGTGGATCAATTCCCCCAGGAAGCAGCTGGCCAAGCTGGGACGTCGCTGGCCCAGCGCTGCCTCTGTTAAGTGAGTTCCCACCCCACCCCCCTTGAGACTCCTTCCCCTGCCCCATCTGCTTCCCATTTGTCCCCGTTTATGACCCAGTCTCTGTGCCGGGTAATGCCAGGGGCCGCAAGGATTGGCTTCCAGTTCTTGTCCTGAACGGCAAGTGAGCTGGCAGGCAGGAGGAGACCGTGGGCCACAGCGCTCTCAGGCCCAGGGTTGGGAGTGCTGGGGCTGGAGATGGAGTTAGGCTGGATGGACAGGGGGATGTGGACACAGGGATTTGGTTCACCTTCCTTCCTCCCCTCCCTGCTTCTTGGAATTTCCTTCTGGGGGACTTGCTTTTTATTTATGTATTTATCTCTCTCTTTGCTTCTGGCCTCTGCCCAACCTCATCTCTGTTGCTACCCCCCCCCCCCCCCCCAATCTCTCACCCTTCTGTGGGTACCTTGTCTCCCATCTTCTTCGCTCTCTGGGGCTCCGTCCCTCTTTTTCTCTGGGTTTCTGTTGCCCTTTCTCTGCTTCCCTGTTCCCTCTCAATGGGTCTCTGGCCACCCCCACCCCGCCCCCACCGCCGCCATCCCTTCCTCCCTGGGTCTCTGTCCCCTCTGTCTGGATCTTTGCCCACCTCTCTCCTTCTCTACCATCTACTCCCTTCTCTGCCTGTCTTTCTGGGTCTTTCTCCCGCCTCTCCACTCCCCGGCGGGCTCCCAGGTCGTCTTCTTCGGACACGGGAAGCCGCAGCAGCGAGCCGCTGCCCCCGCCGCCGCCGCACGTGGAGTTGCGGCGAGTGGGCGCGGTTAAGGCGGCCGGGGGAGCCTCGGGGAGTCGCGCCAAGCGCATCTCCCAGCTCTTTCGGGGCTCGGGGACCGGGGCCACGGGGTCCGGCGGCGCGGGAGGCCCCGCGACTCCAGGGGGTGCCCAGCGCTGGGCCAGCGAAAAGAAACTGCCGGAGCTGTCAGCCGGCGTGGCCCCCGAGCCCCCGCTGGCCACGCGCGCCACGGCGCCCCCGGGGGTCCTCAAGATCTTCGGCGCCGGGCTGGCGTCGGGAGCCAACTACAAGAGCGTGCTGGCCACCGCGCGCTCCACGGCACGTGAGCTGGTGGCCGAGGCGCTGGAGCGCTACGGGCTGGCGGGCAGCCCCGCCGGCAGCCCGGGCGAGAGCAGCTGCGTGGACGCCTTCGCGCTGTGCGACGCGCTGGGCCGGCCGGCGGCGGGCGACGTGGGCAGCGGCGACTGGCGGGCGGAGCACCTGCGCGTGTTGGGCGACTCGGAGCGTCCGCTGCTGGTGCAGGAGCTGTGGCGAGCGCGGCCCGGTTGGGCGCGGCGTTTCGAGCTGCGCGGCCGCGAGGAGGCGCGCCGCCTGGAGCAGGAGGCCTTCGGGGCGGCGGACAGCGATGGTGAGCCGCCAGCCGGATTCTGGGGGCGGGGCTTTGCGGGCTGGGGCGGGGCCTGCCATGGAGACGGGGCCTGCGGGAGGTGGGGCGGGGACGGGGGCGGGGACGGGGGGGCAGGATCGGGGCGGGACTGGAGGGACGAGTCGTAGGCTGGAGGCGGGACTCGCGGGAGAGAAGAGGACTGGGAGTGACCTATAGCACCGGGTCTCGTGGAGAGTGGGGCTGGGGCCAGACCCAGCTCAGCAAGAGGGGCCAGGCCAGAGGTTTTGGCAGAGCTGGTGGGCGGGGCCTGCGGAACAGAGGTGTTGAGTGTCAGCCTGGCCTCTGGCAGGAAGACTCTCAGAGCAATAGGTTGAAGGGGTTCATGAGGGACCAGGCCCGTGTAGATTAAGCGTATAAGGGGAAGGGACTTGGGAAGTGAAGAAATGGACTGCTTGATCTGGACCTAGAGTAGGGCGGAGCCTCAGGGGAGCTGGCCTTGGAGCAGGTGCCCTAGGCTCGGTGGACTGCAGAGTGTGAATGGGAGACTTGAGGGTGGCTCAAGGGAAATGAAGAGAGAGAATGTTTGTAGAGGCCGAGGAAGGTCATGCTTACATGCCGGCCCAGTCTCGGAGAAGGCCGGGCCTGGAACAGGAGGTGATGCCTTGGGTGGAACAGGGCACGCGGAGCCGGGCCTGGCAGGGATGGGGTCTGGCTCAGGGCCACGGGCCGCTCAGGGAGCCTTCTACAGCTTTTCTGTTTCTGAGTCTCCCTTTGAGAGATAAAGTGGTGTAGTAGTTATACGCATGAGCTTTGAACTCTGGCTTGGATTCCAATCTATCCTTTGCCAGTTAAACTGAGCGAAACCCTAGGCGAAGGTGAGATGAGATCATGTATAACAGGGCTTTAGCACAAGACTTGGCACATAGTAGTTGCTTAATAAAGAATGGCGATTATAACCATCGCTCTCTCCCCCCAACTCCCAAAAGCATTCGTTGAGCGCCTACTGTGGGCCACACATTATTTAGGGCCGTGGGGGAATGCAGTGAGCACATGACAGGTGAAGACCCCACCCTGCTATGTTTTACAGCCTGGTGAGAACACATCAGTTCACTCCTTGGGCCCGGTGTGGTGCAGCAGTGCCCCGCACGTAGTAGGTGCCCCCTCCCCCTCAAAAAACAGTTGAAAGAATGAATTTCTGAGCTGAAAACTGCAAGGTGGGTAGGAGTCAGGCAGAAAGTGTGTTCCAGGCACAGGGACCTGCATATCAAAAACCTAAATGTGGGAAGCCGCCTCGTTTCTCTGTAAATTCTTTGTCTCTTTACAATCTGCCTCTTTCCAGTCTCAGCCTCATCCCTCCGTGTCTCTCGGCAGGCACGGGCGCCCCCTCGTGGCGGCCACAAAAGAACCGCTCCCGGGCGGCGTCCGGCGGGGCGGCGCTAGCCAGTCCCGGCCCGGGGTCGGGGTCAGGGCCCCCGGCTGGGTCCGGGGGCAAAGAGCGCTCGGAAAACCTGTCCCTGCGGCGCAGCGTGTCGGAGCTCAGCCTGCAGGGGCGGCGGCGGCGGCAGCAGGAGCGCCGGCAGCAGGCACTTAGCATGGCCCCGGGGGCAGCGGACGCCCAGATCGGACCCGCAGACCCTAGCGACTTCGATCAGTTGACCCAGTGCCTCATCCAGGCCCCCAGCAACCGTCCCTACTTCCTGCTGCTCCAGGGCTACCAGGACGCCCAGGTAAGCGCAGCCTATCCTACTGGGAGAGACCTACGCTCTACCCTTCCGTGGCAGGGAGACAAAATTACAACTCCCAGAATTCCTTGGGTCTTGGTAGTCTCAGGTATGCCCCAGTAAGGTTCCAGGGTAGGAGAAGTCATTGTTAGAGATGGGGCATGGAGGGCCGGCGGAAGGTGGTAGTGGTGGGGGTTGATGGCTGAAAAGATCTGGATGGAAGAACAAGTAGCCAATGGCTCATTTCATGCCAAACCGAGGGAAAGCACTGTCTTTGCGGGGGAGGGGTTGTGAGAGTCTATTGTAGAAAAGGGATCTCCTTGTAAGGTTCTGTTTCTTGATGAGGAGTAATGGAAGTGTCTGTCTTGTTTGGGAAGAAGATAATTTGATGGATGGATGGAATCTTGTTCTGGATAAGCCTGCATTTTTTGGGAAGGAGTGGACTAATCCATTCTTTAAAGGTGCTGGTTTACACTAAAACGATCTGACTATTGTTGATGGGGGTAGGTGATACTCATACTTCTATTTTATATATTTGGGTGACAATAGAACTTGCTTGAGTGTTAGGAAGCAGAGGGGGAGAAAGGATTAGGAGTTAGTAGAAAATTATTAGTGGGTTACTGGGAAATTATTTCATTAATAGAAACAATGTATTATTGGAAATACTCACTTTTGTGCAGGTGATGATTGGGAGAATCATTTTCATGATGTTGTTCAACTTTGGGTAACAGCCAAGTGGTACAAGCCACGTTCAACAGGTGCTTCTGGGAATCAGTGGGAAGGGCCACGGGTGGAACTTAGTGATTAGTCCCATTTTTACTGTCATAGAGAGTGATCAATCGGGTTAGGTGGCCTGGCTTTATAATTGAGTGAATGAGGAAGACTATTTAGAGAAGGGCTCGCTTAGAAGAATTCATTCTTCCTTGTTGGGGCAAGAAGATGGGGCAAGTTCATTATAGGGAGGAGTTTGCATATATTACAACAGCCTATTTCTCCAGACAAGTTTGGAGAATAGGAGGGTCTATTTTGGGAAGATACTCAAATCGGAAGGATCTGTTCTGGGAGTATAGGGGAGTCTGTTATTGGAAGAGGGGAAAACATTGGAAGCATTCATTCTTTTGAGCGAGGTTCATGAGAAATTCCTTTTTAAGAAAGAAGCTTCATTGGA